TATATATACTAATAATGGCAGCAATCAGCAACTTATGGCGGGACTGCGGCGGACATTCTGACACTGGGGGGGAACTGACTTGGGGTCATTGACATCCCCAGTGACACCAATGCAGTGATCAATGCAAAAAAAAGCACTGGCATTGAACTAATGGCACTGGGGGGGGGGGGGGAGGGGTTAAAATTTATGGCAATCAAAGGGTTAACTGTATGATGGGAGTGTTTTAATAGGGGACGGGGTGTGTGCTTCACTGTAAGCACACTGATCAAGACAGCTGTTGTCAAGTGCCAGAAGTGCAGAGAGAGAGCACTCGTAGACAGATTGCACGGAACCCGACGTGCGGGCGTTTATTGGGGAGGTTTACGGGGTACAGACAATAGATCCGTTAGTCAGCAGATCAACACCAGACACAGTAACACTGTAAAGTCCTCTGGAAGGCAATATGGAACAACAGGGGGCCGATAGTCCACAGGGTTCAATAGGACAGTGGGGTGGAGGTTCCGTGGTAATTGGGGTTCATGGGGAGAATTGGGCTCAGTCTTTCGGGCAGCACAGGGTTAGTCCACTTACTGGATGCGGGGAGCGGGGCACAGAGGGTTACAGGCAACACAGGGGTCAATCCACACAGGCAGCTCCAGGCAGCGAAGGGTTAGGTCTGCCAGGCTCACAGGCAACAAAGGGTTAAGTCCGCAAGGCTCACGGGCAACAAAGGGTTAAGTCTGCACAGGAGAGAGATCCAGGCAGCAGGCTCACGGGCAGCAGAGGGTTCATCCACAGTGAGGAGCTGCAGGCAGCAGAGAGTTAACCCCACACAGAGGAGGGATCCAGCAGCAGACTGGCAGGCAGGGGAGCCAGTCAGAGGAGAGGGATTGGAGCAATGAGGAGGCTGGCAGCAGCTCAGACCTCATTCACTAACAGCAGGCAGGAGAACACCCAGGACCGGGGCCCTGCTCTGTCTTAAGTACAGAGCTGGGCGCGTTGCTGTTGCCGTGGTTGCCTTTGTCCCTGTCGGGCACGGAGTGCAGGAAGACGGGCATGGAGGGACGGGAGGGGGGTGACAGGAGGGAACCTACATGTGGATTCCCACAGCAAGGGGACCGACTTTCTTGCGCTCGGCCAGGGAAGCAGGATGCTCCCTCGGCTGCGGGCAGATTGCCGGCGACAGGAGGGTGAGGGGCCGCTGGGGGGGTGACTGTATTAGTGAAAATGAGGACTAGAAGTCCCAGCATGGACGGTATTAGTGTCAATGAGGACTAGAAGTCCCAGCATGGACTGTATTAGTGAGTACTAGAAGTAACAGCATGGACATGACAGAAGAGTGGGGGGTGGCAGGCAGCAAACCTGTAGGATGGGGGGGAAGACCAGCTTCGTGACAGCTGTGCTCAGCCATCCCGAGCAGTGTACCCAAACTGACAGGGAGAAGAGCTGCGTTGTAAACAATGCAGCCCTCTTCCTGTTGGTGTTTTCTGGTAATCACTGGGCTGCAGCGGGTAATCACCGGCCGGGACCCGATGATGGCCGCGATCGACGGTGTGGGTAGGGCGGTCGCGCACCTCGTACTGTGGCTGGTCTGCAAGCGGTTAATTTCTGAACTCATTTGTTTTGGTTTATTTGTATGTATGGGTTACCAACATGTGGTGAACATTTCATGTCAATAGCACCTTTAGAAATATATTTACCTAGAAAAATGGTGACGTGTTCAGTCCCTATTTTATCCGCTGTATATCATTTTACCCTTGCTAGGACACAGAATTGAAGCAATAGAGATCAATTAATAAAAGTTATCAGTCCTTAATATGACAAGGCTCTATGAGGAGTTTATTGAGCAGAGCAGAAAAAGGAGCCAGGAAGATTAAATACTTAAAGGTTCAAATTTTTGAGCATGTTACACACTACACATATTTAGAGTGTAACATGCTTCAGTGCCTGTCCTTTTATCCCCCCCCACCCCCAGTGCCAGTTGGCGGGGGATCCTCTCCCAGCACAGCCACATCATTCATTCACAGGAATCTGAATAACCGATTTACAACTACCGCCTGGCACCGTGGCAGACAGCTGGTGAGCACTTATACCATGGTCAATAACCTTCAATGGGTACATGTAGCATCCTAGCCACTGGCAGATTAATATGCAGAATCATATTCCAAACGTCCAGACACCAAATATGGCATATCCTGCCATTCCGGATAAAAATATATTGCTTTCTACTCTCTTGGAGACGCTACCTAGGGGTGTAAAGTGTCAGGTGACTCGTACTAAAATGACCTATCTGAATATATGCTTTATATCAATGTGCTCAGTTCCTGCGGAAGTTTATAAATTTGTATGAGAAATTACTCATGTGGAATGTACATTTTATGGCCACGCTGAGGTAATGCTTACATGTCAAGTGACCGACTGTGTTATAGTTTTACGACCGGGCAGATGAAAGTGTTTGTCAGACACTCTGGCAACAGGCTTAATTGGGGTTACAACCATGACGCTTATCCAGCTGTGCCTTATGTACTTGTGACCCCAGTGCACACACACAGACCACATTTCATTCAAAGGGGAGGGGGGACTGGACAGAGTGAGAATGACATTTGCAGAGTATGATACAAATATGATTGTCAGCGTCCGTGTATCTAGGAACAAAATTATCACAATGAGCACCTACCTAAAATATACAAACAATTTATATCCAGTCAAGAAGGCCCTTACAGTACGTAGTTGTCAGTAGATATGAATACAATTGTACAGTCAAATTGTAAAATGTGGTGAGCTTAAAGTAATACTAAAAACTTTCTTAATGTGACTTCCTATCCCAAAGCCCAACAGGAAGTTAGAGGAAATCTCTTCTAAGTTAGGAAAATCCCTGGCTGTCATCGGGGTCACCAGAACTAGTGCTCTACTGTTCTAGTGACAGCTAACCTCTCCTGTTCTGGGCTTTTCCTTTCTTTTGGTGATAACGATAAACAGTACAAATACAATAAATCTCCCTAATGTTGACACAGATAACAGTGAAAACCTGACAGGTGTTCTAATTCCTCTCCACACAATCCAAACTTGCATTTAGTTATATGTCTAAAGAATAGTGTAGAGCTGCTGGCAATCAATAATGATGTGAAAATATGATGTGATGCTCCACATTGAGAATCTAAATTACATAAACTATCATCAATATTCAATCATGCATTTAAACCTCTATAACAAAACCCAAATCAAACAAGTTCATAGTGCAGTCCATTTATAAAATTCTTCAGATATATGATACTCGTGTTGTCCGTGAATGTTATATCCAGCACTAATTGTGAATCACACAAATGCTCTCTGCATGTCCAAACACCACATGCTCCCTCCAAGCTCCCAGAACTCTCACCTCCAATCCAAATACACCAGTATATATGATCAGATTCTCCGAGGCAACATTACAGCCTCAGTCCACAGGGGTCTCCCTTGGGATGCCAATTCATATATTCCCAAACAATATCTGAGGTACTTGTGCCTTTTAAAGCTGTAGGAAACAACAAAAAAAATTCTAAATAATCTTCTCTCTGCAAGTTAAGAGCATAATGTGCTAGTATGCATCGCATACTAACACATTATGAAAGACTTACCTGAAAACGAATCCCTCCAGTAGAGCACTGTCACGGCTCGCCGAGGCTTCCATCTTCACCTGGTCTTCCTTCTGGGTTCGCAGGCTGCGGCCATCTGATTGGCCAAGCCGCAATGTCGTCACTCTCACACATGCACAAAGGAAGTTTCGGCTGCAGCATGGCTCTCTCAATGGATGTCACGCCATCCTCCACCCCAAACTCGCTCATCCATGACTTTATGGACCTTGCTTTGTGCAGTGGTGCACAGTCATGTTGGAACAGGAAGGGGCCATCCCCAAACTGTTCCCACAAAGTTGGGAGCATGAAGATGTTCAAAATGTCTAGATATGCTGACGCCTTAAGAGTTCCCTCCACAGGAACTAAGGGACCAAGCCCAACCCCTGAAAAACAACCCTGCACCATAATCTCCCCTTCACCAAATTTTACACTTGGCACAATGCAGTCAAGCAAGTACCATTCTCCTGGCAACCGCCAAACCCAGACATGTCCATCGGATTGTCAAACACAGAAGCATAATTCGTCACTCCAGAGAACACGTCTCCACTGCTCTAGAGTCCAGTGGCAGCGTGCTTTACACCACTGCATCCGACGCTTTGCATTGCACTTGGTGATATAAAGCTTGGATGCAGCTGCTCAGCCATGGAAACCCATTCCATGAAGCTCTCTACGCACTGTTGTTGTGCTAATTTTATTTATTGATTTCACATTATCATTGATTGTGCTACACTGTTTGCGTTTATTTGTGGGAACACAAATTGATGTTTAGCAGCAGCTGATTCACTAGTATTATTTTACACATATTTGGTTTACACGCACATTTGTCAACACATACTAACTGTATATGTATTTATTGGTAGCGCAGAACGTTCACAACACTACTATTCTAGGTTGCATTTAGCTATACTTTAACTCCTTTGTGCCAACAGTACGCATATATGCTGCCTCTTGGCCAGTGGGCCTTGACACCAAAAAGCTGCATAAATGCGTACCAAAACGTAAACAAACCTGTGCCGAGAGTGTGAGCATTGCAATTTACCAGTGCCTAACAGAAAGCTCCGATCATGTGACCACTGTGCCAGCCAATCACGGTGGTCACGTTACCTCAAACCCACCTTGTCTCCTGAGATCATAAACCCCTGGGCTGGGAGGTTACCCTTATCTAATAATTATGTCATTGTGGCTAGGTGTTTCTAATTATCGAGTTACAATAAATATTGATGAAACTGTGTTTTCTTAAACAACTTCAGCCTTGTAATGTAATAGTGCCATAATAACTTTTTGGACAGATTTATACAAAAGTAAATTATAGCCTTTTCATTACCGTCCCTTTTTTTTTTTTTTTGTTCTACAGATTTCAAAAAACAACAAGAGATGGCACAGCTTACTAAAGAGAAGGACCAGCTGACCGAGTCTGTAAAGGCTTATAGAAGCCTGTTTGATGCAACAAATCTACTGCTCAGGGAATATAAGAGTAAGTTTAGCCTGCCTTTTTGTCATAAAGTAACATAAATATATAGCTAAAAGTGAAAATGTTTTCCTAGATTTGGAGGAGAGGGGATAGAACATCTGTCAGGTTTTTACTGCAATCTGTTTCACTATTTGGGAGATTATTCTAGGTCCTGTTCAACAATGCCACCTTGTATAAAAGTAGACCTAAAGGCAAAATGTGTTTTTTTTTTTTTTTTTTTTTTTTTTTTTTTTTGTTTTTTTTTGGGGGGGGGGGTAAATTAAGGTAGTTATAACCCCTGTGAAGTTTTTGTTTTGTTTTGTTTTTTTTGAGGCAGGAGCGGGTTCGCCTTTTGTGTCCTATTGGGAATGTTTTCCTTCACCTTTTTGTTCCATTGCCAAAGCTGGTGTGCAGAAATTCCTCCAAAATCGGAATCCCTAGTTGTCCCCATTGAGGACTTTACCCAGTGGCACAGACCTCAATACAAATTTAACATGGGCTCTAATCCCCGTTCACTTCATACACAACTAAAAAAAGCTTTGGCTTTACAGTGGGTATAGAAAAGAATAACCCCCTTTAAAATCACATTTTGTTGCTTTGTAGCCTTATATAAAGACAGGCACCGTTTTTGTTTTATCCAGCTGTATTTACTCCGTACAACTTATAACATCCAGGTGAAAGATAGAACACCAACATATCAGAAATTTTTTTTTTATTAAAAAACTTAATCAGTTGGAAAAAGGATCACCCCCTTGTGTCAGTATTTTGTTGAACCACCTTATGCTTTAATTTCAGCCTTTAGTGTATTGGGATATGTCTCTACTAACTTTGCACATCTAGACTTTGCAGTATTTGCCCAATCTTCTTTGCGGAACAGCTCAAGTTCAGATGAATTTGATGGTGACCGTTTGTTGACTGCAGTCTTCAAGCCATTCCACAGATTTTCAGTGGGGTTTAAGTCTGGACTCTGACTAGGCCATGCAAGGACATGCACCTATTCTCCTACAACTGCTGTGTGGTCATTTTTGCTGTGTACTTTGGGTCATTGTTATGTTGGAAGGTAAACTTTCCCTTTGTCAACTTTCTGGCGGAGGGCAGCAGATTTTCCTCAAGAATTTGACGATATTTTGTCCCACCTATTTTTCCTTCTATCCTAACAAGTGCTCCAGTCTCTGCTGCAGAGAAACACCCCCATAACAGGATGTTACCACCTCCACTCTTTAATGTAGGAATGGTGTTATTTAGATGGTGAGCTATATTTAATTTCCGCCAGACATGTCATTTTGTGTTGAGCCCAAATAATTCAATTTTAGTCTCATCTGACTATTACACCATTTTCCATGTGGGCTCAGAATCTTCAAGGTGCATTTTGGTAAAGTTCAGTTGTGACTGCATGTGGCCTTTCTTGAGGAGAGGCTTTTTTCTTGCAACCCTCCCATACAAGCCACATTTGTGGAGAATTTGTGATATTGTTGCCACTTGCACACAATGACCACTCTTACAAATTCCTGCAACTGCTTCAGAGTTGCTGTAGGTCTCATGGTAGTCTCTCTGACCAGTTTTCTCCTGGCTCTTTCATCTAGTTTGGAGTGACGTCCTGATCCATGAAGGGTCTGTGTTGTACCAAATACCTTCCACTTCTTAATGATCGACTTCACTGTGCTTCTTGGCATTTATAAAGCTTTTTAATTTTTTTGTAGCCATCTCCTGACTTGTAGCTGTCCACAACTTTATTCCGGAGATCTTTTGACAGTGCCTTGCCACCCATAGTTGATTGTTTGCTTCAGTTGCACTATCAGGGACTGAAATGCTCCAGGAAGGCTCTTTATGCTGAGCTAATCAAAATGACCACAGCTGATCACAGTTGAAAGTCAAACTGCTTTGTGTGACATTGAGAAGGTGATTAGCTACACCAGATTGAGTTTAGAAGTCATTTTTAGGAGGGGGTGATCCTTTTTCCAACTCCATGATTCTGTTTTTGAATTTTTATTTTTTTTCCTGACATGTTGATGTTGTATCTTTCACTTGGATGTTATAAATTGAGTAAATACAGCTGTATAAAAACAAAAAACTGTCTCTTCATTTCAGGCTGCAAAGCAACAAAATGTGATTATTTTAAAGGGAGTGATTATTTTCTATATTCATTGTAGTTATCCTTTAAAATACAGGCATATTTACTCTACATGCCAAAAAGTTTACCGTTTTTGTTTAGCAATGCTTAACAGGTAGGATAAACCTACCACTTCCCTTATCACATCAATGCTAATTGCACCAAGGTGATGAGGATGGTTTGCTGTCTAGTGACTGAGCTAGGAAACACAACAATAAGAACCATACAGAGGTCCTACCATGTTTAAAGCTAGAACACAAATTTCAATCTGAGTTTATTTTTCATTGTGGATTTCCAGCTCTCAAGTATTCTCATTCATTCTCAAACCTCACAGCTTTGAGCAGACACAACTCTTAGCTGTCACTTTTAAGTATCCTGGACAGGTTACAACCACCTTACAGGTTTTTAGCTCTTTGCACTTTTGTCTATCTTCTTTGCAACTACTGATATACACTGATTATCCGTAACTTTATGATCACTGACAAGTTAAGTAAATAATATTGAATATCTCACTACAATGGCATCTGAAAGTCGGTGGGATATATTAGGCAGCAAGTAGACATGTTGTTCCTCAATTTGATGTGTTGACAGCAGAAAAAAATGGGTATCAGTTTATTGTGTATGGGGCTGCATAGCCACAGACCAGTCAGGGTGCCCATGCGGACCCATGTCCACAGCCAAAAGCACCTGTAATGGACACACGAGCATCAGAACTGGATTGCAAAGCAATGGAACAAAGTGGTTTGGTCTGAAGAGTCGAATTTTCTTTTACATCATGTAGATGGCCAGGTGCCATGTGTGTTGTTTATCTGGGGAAGAGATGGTGCCAGGATACAGTTTGGGGAAAAAGGCAAATAGGCAGATGCAGTGTGATGCTTTGGGCAATGTTCTGCTAAGAAAACTTGGGTCCTGCCATACATATGGATATTACTTGACATCTAGCACCTACCTAAAAATTGTTGCTGGCCAAGTACACCCCTTCATGAAAATGGTATACCCTGATGGTGATGGCTTCTTTCAGCAGGATAATGTGCCCTGCTACACTGCACAAATGGTTCAAGAATGGTTTGAGAAACCATTCTTGAGCCACATTTGAGCCCATGGCTGTGCCATGAGCTGCTCAAAGAATTAGTTATTAAAAACAAAGTTACTGGTAAGAACTATCTCCTGCAGCTGCATGGCAAAGTCAAGTCAGGCCAGCAGGGAGACATAAATTCATCAGTACTCTGCCCATTACTCTTACTACTTCATCACGTGGTATGGATGTGTACAAACCATTCACATTCATACCGCATAATAGGCAATCAGTAGGTAAATTATCCAAATAGACCAAATGGTTAAAAAAATGATAGTATGCCTGCCTTCTTAGGTTGTAATAATTTGTTCACAAAGATGCCCAAAAATTGAAAAATAGATTCAAATCTCTGCCATAATGGAATGCCCTGAAGGATTCTGTAGTCCTTTGTGAACCTTGGAGCGGTAATAAAATAGGAGTGTTAACGGATGTTTCCCTGAGCAAAAATTTTGTTTTGTAGCAATAATTCCCATTAAAGCGGAACTTCAGCCAAAAGGGGATGTTCCGCTTTTTCTCTCTCCCACCCCCCAACCCCCTGCCATATTGCCATATTTGGAGTGCTTTTTGTAGGGGAAGAGTGGGTATCTGTAGAAAAAAAGAGATACCCGCTCCCACTTCTGCTCCAGCCACCTAGGCAAATGACACGGAAGTGCCCCCCCCCCTCCTCCACTGCTTCTTGGGACATGTCAGAGATCCCAAGAGAATGTGGGATCAGTAATGGGGCGCAGCGCATCTCGTAGCATGCGCAGTGGGCAACCGTCTCTAAAACCGCAAGGAGTCACAGCCGGCTGCCTACAGTTAAGAAGCCAACACCGGGGAATGAAGAAAAAACAAAGGTCTGGGTTGGGTTAGGATATTGCTGGATTCTGGGTTAAATAAGTGTGTATTTTTTTTAAAAGCCAACTGCTGACTTTTACATTTTTGTTTACAGGGTGAAGTTCCACTTTAAGTAGGCCTGTAAAACTAATGTATCAATTTGCTTCTTCAATCCCTAGAAAGGATCACCCCTCAAATTACAATACACTTCACCATCTAAAAGCTCATAACCTCACCCTGATATATTTATTCAAAATCAAGATGGCTCCACACTTATTTGCTGGTTTCACGTATGGGTCATTTGCTCATAATGAATTTGAAGCCATTTTTTTCCTCACAGGAAAGTTTTCCAACCTCCCATGTTGACTCGGCTAATGCAGGCAACTGAGTTCCCACTGTACCAGCTTCACAAAGGCTTCTACCATGTAAAAATTGAAGGGAGGAGATGATGTGGGAATAACAGAGAAGTTAGGGCTTGTATATGTGAACCCAGAGGCAGCATTAGGTCGTTCATATCATTTTTGGTTGGCAGGACATAACTGTTCCCAATTAAGCGTTGCAGTTATTGAAGAGGTTAATACTCCCAAAGTAGTGACTTGGTTCATCTAATGTTACAGAGAGAAATATTTTGGATCTATAAACTGGATCCCTAAAGGGATGAATGAGGATAAGGATCTATTCGTATTCATGTGATCTGTGTTCCTAACTGTTATTGTTCCCCTATGTGTGAGGTGGCTAAAGTGATCCTCCTGGTGTGTATACACTATATTTCCAAAAGTATTGGGACACCCCTCCAAATCATTGGATTCAAGTGTTCCAATCACCTCCATGACTACAGGTGTGTAAAATCAAGCACCTAGGCATGTAGACTGTTTCTACAAACATTTGAGAAAGAATTCAAGCGTAGTACCGTGATAGGTTGCTACCTTTGCAATAAGTCCATTTGTGAAATTTCTTTGCTACTAATATTCCACGGTCAACTGTTAGTGCTATTATAACAAAGTGGATGCAACAGGGGAATGA